AAATGCTGCAATTGTGGTGTTGTCAACAGAAGTATGAGAAACAGTTGATATATTACTGGTATTAACAGAAGTATGAGAAAGAGTTGATATATTACTGGTATTAACAGAAGTATGAGAAAGAGTTGATATATTACTGGTATTAACAGAAGTATGAGAAACAGTTGATATGTTACTGGTATTAACAGAAGTAAGAGAAACAGTTGATATATTACTGGTGTTAACAGAAGTATTAGAAACAGTTGATATATTACTGGTGTTAACAGAAGTATTAGAAACAGTTGATATATTACTGGTGTTAACAGAAGTATGAGAAACAGTTGATATATTAATTTTGTTAACAGAAGTATGAGAAACAGTTGATATATTACTGGTATTAACAGAAGTATGAGAAACAGTTGATATATTACTGGTATTAACAGAAGTATGAGAAACAGTTGATATATTACTGGTATTAACAGAAGTATGAGAAACAGTTGATATATTACTGGTATTAACAGAAGTATGAGAAACAGTTGATATATTACTGGTATTAACAGAAGTATGAGAAACAGTTGATATAATACTGGTATTAACAGAAGTATGAGAAACAGTTGATATATTACTGGTATTAACAGAAGTATGAGAAACAGTTGATATATATGACCATAATTGTCTTCATACTCTTTGTCAACTATATAATGACCATAAAACAGAAGTATGAGAAACAGTTGATATATTACTGGTATTAACAGAAGTATGAGAAACAGTTGATATATTACTGGTATTAACAGAAGTATAAGAAACAGTTGATATATTACTGGTATTAACAGAAGTATGAGAAACAGTTGATATATTACTGGTATTAACAGAAGTATGAGAAACAGTTGATACATTACTGGTATTAACAGAAGTATGAGAAACAGTTTCTATATTACTGGTATTAACAGAAGTATGAGAAACAGTTGATATATTACTGGTATTAACAGAAGTATAAGAAACAGTTGATATATTACTGGTATTAACAGAAGTATGAGAAAAAGTTGATATATTACTGGTATTAACAGAAGTATGAGAAACAGTTGATATATTACTGGTATTAACAGAAGTATGAGAAACAGTTGATATACTACTGGTATTAACAGAAGTAAGAGAAACAGTTGATATATTACTGGTGTTAACAGAAGTATTAGAAACAGTTGATATATTACTGGTGTTAACAGAAGTATTAGAAACAGTTGATATATTACTGGTGTTAACAGAAGTATGAGAAACAGTTGATATATTAATTTTGTTAACAGAAGTATGAGAAACAGTTGATATATTACTGGTATTAACAGAAGTATGAGAAACAGTTGATATATTACTGGTATTAACAGAAGTATAACAGAAGTATGAGAAACAGTTGATATATTAATTTTGTTAACAGAAGTATGAGAAACAGTTGATATATTACTGGTATTAACAGAAGTATGAGAAACAGTTGATATATTACTGGTATTAACAGAAGTATAAGAAACAGTTGATATATTACTGGTATTAACAGAAGTAGGAGAAACAGTTGATATATTACTGGTATTAACAGAAGTAAGAGAAACAGTTGATATATTACTGGTGTTAACAGAAGTATTAGAAACAGTTGATATATTACTGGTGTTAACAGAAGTATTAGAAACAGTTGATATATTACTGGTGTTAACAGAAGTAAGAGAAACAGTTGATATATTAATTTTGTTAACAGAAGTATGAGAAACAGTTGATATATTACTGGTGTTTAAAGAAGTATTAGAAACAGTTGATATATTAATTTTGTTAACAGAAGTATGAGAAACAGTTGATACATTACTGGTGTTTAAAGAAGTATGAGAAACAGTTGATATATTACTGGTGTTTAAAGAAGTATTAGAAACAGTTGATATATTACTGGTGTTAACAGAAGTATGAGACACAGTTGATACATTACTGGTGTTAACAGAAGTATGAGAAACAGTTGATACATTACTGGTGTTAACAGAAGTATGAGAAACAGTTGATACATTACTGGTGTTAACAGAAGTATGACAAACAGTTGATATATTACTGGTGTTAACAGAAGTATGAGAAACAGTTGATACATTACTGGTGTTAACAGAAGTATGACAAACAGTTGATATATTACTGGTGTTAACAGAAGTATGAGAAACAGTTGATACATTACTGGTGTTAACAAAAGTATGAGAAACAGTTGATATATTACTGGTGTTAACAAAAGTATGAGAAACAGTTGATACATTACTGGTGTTAAAAGAAGTATGAGAAACAGTTGATATATTACTGGTGTTAACAGAAGTATGAGAAACAGTTGATACATTACTGGTGTTAACAAAAGTATGAGAAACAGTTGATATATTACTGGTGTTAACAAAAGTATGAGAAACAGTTGATACATTACTGGTGTTAAAAGAAGTATGAGAAACAGTTGATATATTACTGGTGTTAACAAAAGTATGAGAAACAGTTGATACATTACTGGTGTTAAAAGAAGTATGAGAAACAGTTGATACATTATTGGTGTTAACAAAAGTATGAGAAAAATTACCTCCACGTGATGTAAAGATAGCATCAGCATGAGCAAAATTCACCTGAGCTACAGATAGCAGCAGATTGAGAGACAGTCCATCTCCATGCGGTTACAGGCGAAACTCTGAGCTACAGATAGCAGCAGATTGAGAGACAGTCCATCTCCATGCGGTTACAGGGGAAACTGAGCTACAGTTAGCAGCAGATTGAGAGACAGTCCATCTCCATGCGGTTACAGGGGAAACTCTGAGCTACAGATAGCAGCAGATTGAGAGACAGTCCATCTCCATGCGGTTACAGGGGAAACTCTGAGCTACAGATAGCAGCAGATTGAGAGAAAGTCCATGTCCATGCGGTTACAGGGGAAACTCTGAGCTACAGATAGCAGCAGATTGAGAGAAAGTCCATCTCCATGCGGTTACAGGCGAAACTCTGAGCTACAGATAGCAGCAGATTGAGAGACAGTCCATCTCCATGCGGTTACAGGGGAAACTGAGCTACAGATAGCAGCAGATTGAGAGAAAGTCCATGTCCATGCGGTTACAGGGGAAACTCTGAGCTACAGATAGCAGCAGATTGAGAGAAAGTCCATCTCCATGCGGTTACAGTGGCAACTCTGAGCTACAGATAGCAGCAGATTGAGAAACAGTCCATCTCCATGTGGTTACAGTGGCAACTCTGAGCTACAGATAGCAGCAGATTGAGAAACATTTCATCTCCATGCGTTTTCAGGGGAAACTCTGAGCTACAGATAGCAGCAGATTGAGAAACAGTCCATCTCCATGCGGTTACAGGGGAAACTCTGAGCTACAGATAGCAGCAGATTGAGACAGTCCATCTCCATGCGGTTACAGGGGCAACTCTGAGCTACAGATAGCAGCAGATTGAGAAACATTTCATCTCCATGCGGTTACAGGGGAAACTCTGAGCTACAGATAGCAGCAGATTGAGAGACAGTCCATCTCCATGCGGTTACAGGGGAAACTGAGCTACAGATAGCAGCAGATTGAGAGACAGTCCATCTCCATGCGGTTACAGGGGAAACTGAGCTACAGATAGCAGCAGATTGAGAGACAGTCCATCTCCATGCGGTTACAGGGGCAACTCTGAGCAACAGATGCTCCGCTTTTAATTAGTGTCTTAGTTACAGCGTATCCAAGATTGTCTTAGTCCTTTTCTTAGTTACAGCTTATCCTCGGTTGTCTTAGTCCAGGTCTTAGTTTCAGCCTATCTTAGATTGTCATAGCTGTGGTCTTAAGGACATAAACTTGACTTAACATTGTTTATTTAAAGTTAAATGAAATGGGATGAAACCTATCTCCTGATCGACATTTTGAGAATAGACATGTGTTGTAAGGTAAGCACAAGGATAAAACCTATGTCCTGATCGACATTTTGAGAATAGACATGTGTTGTAAGGTAAGCACAAGGATAAAACCTATGTCCTGATCGACATTTTGAGAATAGACATGTGTTGTAAGGTAAGCACAAGGATAAAACCTATGTCCTGATCGACATTTTGAGAATAGACATGTGTTGTAAGGTAAGCACAAGGATAAAACCTATGTCCTGATCGACATTTTGAGAATAGACATGTGTTGTAAGGTAAGCACAAGGATAAAACCTATGTCCTGATCGACATTTTGAGAATAGACATGTGTTGTAAGGTAAGCACACGGATCAACACAACACATTGGCCATGTGTGTATATCGTGAGATCATTTATTATTTGCGATGTATTCATTTTTTAAAAATTCAGATTATAATGCATGGCGCTGTCTGCCCATTGGGACATGCAATTCATTTGATGTCTTAGGAAGCACGGACACGCAATTAAAGGGGACAAATTTAAAAGTAATTCAACATTTCTTCAGATTGGTATGAATTGTTTAAGACGCCATCTATATATAACAATAGCAATATGTCTATCTGTCCCACAATACATATTTCCATCTGTCCACATATCCATCTGAACCATTATCCATATGTTCAACTATCCATCTGATCCAATATCCATCTGTCTAACTGTCCGCCTGTCCAGCTGTCCATCTGTCTAACTGTCCAGCTGTCCACTAATTACAATGGTTCGTTTTTCAATAATCATATCTTAATTTTACCTGGTTACTTCAGATAAGTGATTATAGCTTTTTCAAATAGTTTACATATATTCATTGAAATGCTATGAATACTCGAATACCAGCCATCAAAATTCTATTTGAACTGGGTGACGCAGCTCGAAAATGTGATTCTGCTCCCGATATCCTCCAACCTACTTCCCACACTCAAGCTGTCGCGATCACACGGTCTTATCAGCAACAAGAGCGCATTTTCCATCATTTAATCTAATAATAAATTGCAAATGTGAGGTAAAGAGAAAAAAATTAAAAGTCCACTTTTAGATAGGTCAGTTCGTTGACCAGCGACATATATAGGGGCCCGCTGACACCAACGCAATCACTTTACGCTTTTGAAATGTCTCGTCTACTTGTCACTGTGTGTGTGCTCGTCTGTGTGTTGGTCGGGGTGCACGGGAAGCTCAGGTTTAAGAACCACTTAAAGCAGAGCTTGACCAGGGCGGCCAAGTACATGAAATCAGGACTGGCCGAAAGGTGAGATTTAGGACAAAAATATTTTTTTTATTTCGTAACTGCCAGCAAGGTTTCACGGTAATCGCAAGCAGTTCCAGTGTAGAGAAGTTCGGTTGATTGAATTAAAGAATTTTACCAGCCATCAGCTTAGTTTAGGTGTGGCTCTCAATATTTTGTTCCAGTCACCGCCCCCCCCCCCGAGCATAAAACACCTCCTTAGCACCCCAACAACCCCCGTTACACAACTTTGGCGAATAATTGTTGGTCTGACCCGCAATAGAAGTGTTTTCTTGACATACATGAAACGTATAGATTGATAGATTCTGTAATCATGAACCATTTCCTAGAATATTTCATTGAAATGAAAATGAAACATTTTGCATTGATCAATCAAGTACAAGTAGGAACAATATTGATCAAAAGCATGGGATACTTCAAGTCTCATTAAACATCCACTAAAAACATTTTTTTTCGCATAAATCCTTTATAAAAAGTAATAGTGAGCCATTGGAAGGGGAAAAAAAAAGGGGAAGGGGGTGGGTTAGGCTGCTGAAAATTTGACAAAACATTTATACAAGTAACGCACCTTAGAAGAATTCCAATTAGCCCCACCCCCTCACCTCCCCCCCACCCCCCGCTTTAAGACTCGCAAAAAAAATGTCCCGCCCCTGAACTATATTAACATCCTACTGTCCTATCCGACATTCTACTGTCCTATCCGGCATTCTACTGTCCTATCCGACATTCTACTGTCCTATCCGACAATCTACTGTCCTATCCGACATTCTACTGTCCTATCCGACAATTTACTGTCCTATCCGACATTCTACTGTCCTATCCGACATTCTACTGTCCTATCCGACATTCTACTGTCCTATCCGACATTCTACTGTCCTATCCGACATTCTACTGTCCTATCCGACAATCTACTGTCCTATCCGACATTCTACTGTCCTATCCGTTTTTACACAACAGATTGATTTCAGCAACGATTTCAGAAGAAAAAAAAGAAGAAAATATGGCGCACCAATGGCACGTGCAATAGTTGTCTCTTTATAAAGAATCTCATTTAGCGCAGTTATCGGGAGTTTCATTTCGTGAAATCAGCGTCACCACAAGTGTCGACTGCCCGGGGCCCTCCGGTGGTCTTAATCCGCCCACGGTGAATGGCGTTGTCTTACCGGAGCCAGGAAGGTGCAATGGTTTCATCTCCCGCCCCCTGACACTGGAAGGGTTTTGGGTTTGGGTTTCACTTAGATGTCTGCTAGATAAGCCACGCCGTGTTTGATGTCTATGAGATCATGACCAGGAGAAGCACGTGTGTCTTCAAATGTCTCATCTGTCTTGTCAAATAATTCGTTCAAGAAAGACACTTCGCTACGGAGCAGCGAAAATCTGTTCTTCATCACCCAATTTTTTTGGGCTCAATCTTATTTGATCCAGTTTTATTTGGCCTAGTCTTATTTGACCCAGTCTTATTTCACCTAGTCTTATCAGTCTTATTTGACCTAGTCTTATCAGTCTTATTTGACCTAGTCTTATTAGTCTTATTTGACCCAGTCTTATTTGACCTAGTCTTATTAGCCTTAATTGACCCAGTCTTATTTGACCCAGTCTTATATTATTTGACCCAGTCTTATCTTACCAAGTCTTATTAGTCTTATTTGACCCAGTCTTATTTGACCCAGTCTTATTAGTCTTATTTGACCCAGTCTTATCTTACCCACACTTATTTATATTATTTGACCCACTCTTATTAGTCTTATTTTACTTAGTCTTATTTGACCCAGTCCTATCAGTCTTATTTGACCCAGTCTTATTAGTCTTATTTGACCCTGTCTTATTAGTCTTATTTGACCCAGTCTTATCTGACCCACACTTATTAATATTATTTGACCCAGTCTTATTAGTCTTATTTTACTTAGTCTTATTTGACCCAGTCCTATCAGTCTTATTTGACCCAGTCTTATTAGTCTTATTTGACCTAGTCTTATTTGAACCAGTCTTAAAGAATTCGGACTTTCAACATTAAGCCATGTTTCTTTCAAATATATTGCTGATTGAATTCCCCAGCGCCACCTAAAAATCTCTTAAATGCCCCATTCCCCCCCACCCCCAGGCTGTCCAAACATCAACTGGGTTGTGGCACCGTACACTTTGAGAGCAACTGCTCTGGGTTTAAAAAAAAATAAAATGTCAACTGTTGTATTAGGAGCGAGTTTAGTTTGTTGTCATCTTTTAACATCTAACAAAGCAGAAGATTTGTTCTCAATGAACTCAAAGGTCGACAGCCCCCCCCCCCACATTTCCGGTGAGAATGCATCAATGGGTTTGTCGGATAGCGGTTTAACTGTATTTGTCCTTTTTTCTCTTTTTTTTTTTTTAAACGGTCACCAGAAATTTGATCGAAAGAAATTTCGTCGACGGAAAATTGATCGACGGATTTTTTAAAAATTTTTGTGTTTTCAATTCACACTTAAAATTTCTGTCCCATGTCTGTTTGAACACACCACACACACACACACCACACACACCACACACACTACACACACCACACACACACACCACACACACCACACACCGTACTACGTTGTCAAACATAATAAGCCGTTCTAAAAATTTTGAGGCAAAACTTTCAAGTGTGAACTGAAAAAAAAAAAAAAAAAAAAAATTCGACCAAATTTCCGTCGCTCAATTTTTCGTCGACCTAATTTCTTTCGATCGAATTTCCAGAAACGTGTTTTTTTTTTACCACTTGACCATTCGACTCACTTTGACAGTTCCTATAGTTGGTTCAATCTCTTCATTTCTCCCATTACGGGTTGACTGCCGCTTGGTGGTGGAAGGCGTGTCCTGTCCTCTCTAGTAAACCCAACTTTCAAAACCAATTCCTGTGTCCGCTTCACAGACAGGCGGTCGGATGCACAGCCGACCAGTTTGCATGTCCGGAGAAATGTGTCCCGCAAACGTACGTCTGCGACACCGAAAATGACTGCTCGGGAGGATACGATGAAAGCCAGAATTGCCCGGCCAATTGTACAGGACCGAATCAGTTTCAATGTCCAGTAAGTCAGATGTTACACAGTAAGTCAGATGTTACAATGTTAATTGTCCGACCAATTGTATCGGACCACACCAGTTTCAATGTCCGGTAAGTCAGATGTTACAATGTTAATTGTCCGACCAATTTTACCGGACCACACCAGTTTCAATGTCCAGTAAGTCAGATGTTACAATGTTAATTGTCCGACCAATTGTACCGGACCACACCAGTTTCAATGTCCGGTAAGTCAGATGTTACAATGTTAATTGTCCGACCAATTGTACCGGACCACACCAGTTTCAATGTCCGGTAAGTCAGATGTTACAATGTTAATTGTCCGACCAATTGTACCGGACCACACCAGTTTCAATGTCCGGTAAGTCAGATGTTACAATGTTAATTGTCCGACCAATTGTACCGGACCACACCAGTTTCAATGTCCGGTAAGTCAGATGTTACAATGTTAATTGTCCGACCAATTGTACCGGACCACACCAGTTTCAATGTCCGGTAAGTCAGATGTTACAATGTTAATTGTCCGACCAATTGTACCGGACCACACCAGTTTCAATGTCCGGTAAGTCAGATGTTAAAATTTTAATTGTCCGACTAATTGTACCGGACCACACCAGTTTCAATGTCCGTTAAGTCAGATGTTACAATGTTAATTGTCCGACCAATTGTACCGGACCACACCAGTTTCAATGTCCGGTAAGTCAGATGTTAAAATGTTAATTGTCCGACTAATTGTACCGGACCACACCAGTTTCAATGTCCGGTAAGTCATATGTTACAATGTTAATTGTCCGACTAATTGTACCGGACCACACCAGTTTCAATGTCCGGTAAGTCAGATGTGTTTAAACGCATTGATGTTTTCTTTCCAATAACAGAAATGTAACAATGTAAACTGATCCCACGCGCTTATCTACTTGATCCCCTCCATCACATCACCTGATCCCATGCGCCAATCCACCTGATCCCATGCGCCAACCCACCTGATCCCATGCGCCAACCAAATGATCCCACCCAGCGATCCACTTGATCCCATGCGCCAACCCACCTAATCCCCTCCATCAACCCACTTGATCCCATTCGCATACATACCTGATCCCACACGCCGACCCACCTTATCCCACTCGCGGATCCACCTGATCCCATTCGTCGACCGATCTGATCAAATTCCCCGACCCAACTGATCCCATGCGTCGATCCAACTGATCCTTTGCACTAACCCACCTGCTCCCAGGTCCCGACCCATCAGGATGTTGTCCCAGACGTAATTCGCCCACATCGTATCGCTTGGGGTCCCCGATTCTTCCTAGCCGACATTGCCACCTACCAAGTGTGAGGCTAGACCATGATGGTATTTTTGTAAGAAGGACCAGTCAGTCAATGTCATCATCGTCATGTGTATCCCCTTTCCTTACAACTAAAGGCCACCATCTCCCTTCTCCGTACAACTAAAGGTCACCACTTCCCTTTTCCGTACAACTAAATGCCACCATCTCCCTTCTCCGTACAACTAAAGGTCACCACTTCCCTTCTCCGTACAACTAAATGCCACCATCTCCCTTCTCCGTACAACTAAAGGTCACCACTTCCCTTCTCCGTACAACTAAAGGCCACCATCTCCCTTCTCCGTACAACTAAAGGTCACCACTTCCCTTTTCCGTACAACTAAAGGCCACCCTCTCCCATCTCCGTACAACTAAGGGCCACATCTCCCTTCTTCGTACAACTAAAGGCCCCCATCTCCCTTCTCCGCACAACTAAAGGCCACCATCTCCCTTCTCCGTACAACTAAAGGCCATCATCTCCCTTCTCCATATAACTAAAGGCCACCATCTCCCCTCTCCGTACAACCAAAGGCCACTATCTCCCTTCTCCGTACAACTTAAGGCCACCATCTCTTTTCTCCATACAACTAAAGGCACCAATCTCCCATTTCCATACAACTAAAGGCCACCATCTCCCTACTCCATACAACTAAAGGCCACCATCTCCCTACTCTCTACAACTAAACGCCACCATCTCCCTACTCCATACAACTAAAGGCCACCATCTCCCTACTCTCTACAACTAAAGGCCACCATCTCCCTACTCCCTACAACTAAAGGCCACCATCTCCCTACTCCCTACAACTAAAGGCCACTATCTCTTGTATTGCTACTCCAGGGAGGACGATGCATCCCCGTGTTCTACCGATGTGACGGCACCAACGACTGCAGCGACGGAAGTGACGAAAAGAACTGTAATGGAACCTGCCAGAATGGATACTTCAAGGTGAGACATGCACGTGACGCAGCCTTTCAGTTTTTAATTCCAAACCATTTCCGTTGTACTAATTTATTCACGTTGAAGTCAATTTGATCTGTCAATAGTTTTTGGCAACATCTTCATAGCAACAACTTTCTCGCTCAAGAAATATTCCGGTTGTTAGATTTTAAGGCTAAAATATATTTTTACTCGAAACGATACAGCAGAGAGGTTTTTCTCACTTCTTTGAAAAGATGTTGCATCATATTTCTTTCACAATTTATAGTTTTAAGAAGTCAATCATAACTTCTTTGGGGTGTATTAATGAAGCAACATAAAAACAAAAAATACCCTTGGCGTCATTTTTGAAAATTACAACAAAACACACAAAAAAAAATACTTCGGTAATTTATAAAATAAGGTATATTTGGTAGAGTTCAATTTAGGTCAATTTAATTTATTAAAAAATATTTCTATTTTTCATCGATGCACAGTGCACATCTCATACGTACGTAGTTCTTTATAAAAAAATAATGTCAACAAGATTATATTAAAGTAAATGAAGAACCGCCATAGCAAGTGTTGTATGCATCAGATCCCACTCACCCACATCTACATATAAATCAACTATGTCATATAGCCAGTGTTGTATGTATCAGATCCCACTTACCCATACGTCCATCTAAATCATGTCACAGCCAGTCTTGTATGTATCAGATCCTACTCACCCACATGTCCATCTCAATCCTGTCATAACCAATGTTGTATGTATCAGATCCAAATCACCCATATGTCCATAAAAATCAACTCTGTCACATAGCCAGTGTTGTATGTATCAGATGCCACTCACCCACATCTCCATGTAAATCAACTTTGTCACTTAGCCAGTGTTGTAAGTATCAGATTCAACTCACCCACATGTCCATCTCAATCGTGTCATAGCCAGTGTTGTATGTATCAGATCCCACCCACATGTCCATCTCAATCATGTCATAACCAATGTTGCATGTATCAGATGCCACTCACCCACATGTCCCTCTCAATCCTGTCCTCCTCACCAGTGTGGTAACGGCGCCTGTATCAGCCACAGCTGGGAGTGTGACGGTGATGAAGACTGCGGCGACCATTCAGACGAGGCCAACTGTGGTGGAACTTGCAGGAGCGGTTACTTCCACGTAAGGCACTCTAGCAGGGCCGTCACCTGGGTACCCTGCGACCCCCTGTGGCGGCAAAGGTGGGGGGGGGGGTGGCGGGGGCGCTCATCTAACTTGGAGGGGCTCAATAAAATGTGATCTGGGGAAAAAAAAGAATGATTTAAATTGCATTGCAATTAAATAGCACAATCTAAAAACTTAAACAACAAAGAAATTAATATTTAAAATAACAATAATAATAATAAATGATCAACCTGTCCCAACTCACAATGCTTGAGCATCACCTGAGTCACAAGGTTTAGATAGATTTTTGTTTTAAATGGGGGTTGGGGGAGGGGGGAAACTTTCGTAGACCTGTTATTGGATGGGTGTTTATATTTTAAATCAGCTACTTACGGAGGAATGAGGGCAAGAGGAGAAAAAAAAAGGTGGTGGGGAGGGGGGGGGTCCTGTTGGAGGCACTTTTTAAGAGCGGAATTTCAAGTTCCCGTGCAAGGTAGAAAAGGTAGGTTTTTGAAAGGTGAGGTCTGGGGGTGGGGGGGGGAATAACCGAACCCACATTTGATTCCTACTCCTTGCTACGGTCATCAACCGTTACATTGAACTGAACATTGTCTAAGTTCTCCATTCCCGGTCTCAGCTTTTAGTCAGACCAAGCGCCTAGAGATAGGGGAGAGAAAAGGTGGGGGAGAAAACAAAAAAACAAGCCGTAAAAGCCTATCGCGGGGTCACCACCAAAGGTCAAAGGTCGGCATTCGAGCGACTGTTTGGTTTTTAGGACTAGCGATGACTGAAAAACAAACCGTTGGAGATCTGTTTCAACTGGATCAATAGACAAACAAAAAGAGAAACAAACTCGTCGGCCAAAAAAAAAAAAAAAAAAAAAAAAAAAAAATTAAAAAGGTAAAAAAAAAAAAAAAAAAAAAAATGTAACTCAGCTGTCGAAAGTTTTAACTCAGCTTATCGAAAGTTGTAACTCAGCTTATCGAAGGTTGTAACTCAGCTGTCGAAAGTTTTAACTCAGCTTATCGAAAGTTGTAACTCAGCTTATCGAAGGTTGTAACTCAGCTGTCGAAAGTTTTAACTCAGCTTATCGAAAGTTGTAACTCAGCTTATCGAAGGTTGTAACTCAGCTGTCGAAAGTTTTAACTCAGCTTATCGAAAGTTGTAACTCAGCTTATCGAAAGTTGTAACTCAGCTGTCGAAAGTTGTAACTGAGCTATCGAAAGTTGTAACTCAGCTTATCGAAAGTTGTAACTCAGCTGTCGGGAGTTGTAACTCAGCTTATCGAAAGTTGTAACTCAGCTATCGATAGTTAGAACTCATGAAAATCATACTTTTTTTTCTTCAAAAAGGTTAACTTTAAATGTTGTCTTTGAGTTTGAACATGTTGGCAGGCCTTCAGTTTCATTCGAGATCAAGTTCAATAATCTCGTTCAAACTTCAATGTTAATTTCCATGACTATTTGAATGACGCCCCTTGGCTTTGTTACCTAACAGTGATTAGCCAGAGTGTGAAAAACCAGCCGCCATGTGTGTCAGTTGATTGGGTCAAGGACGCTTCATCATTTTCCCTGTGAATTTGAAAATGCAGTTTACAGCCCCATATGCCACTGCGGAGTTTTAAGATAGGGGGGGGGTGCTATTTAAAGGCCACGTTCTCCACAACGGAATGGCATGTGTCCGACGGTGCGCCTCGAATGGTAACCATGCCATATCCCTTAGTGAGCCTGCATCTTGGTCAGAGTGTATATCTGGTAGATGACGTACTGACTTTGGGACACTGGGAGATGTCCGTGCAAAAGATTATAAATTTTGCAAAAATCAAATCCGGTCTAAGATGCCGCCAAATGGAGAACTGGAAGGTGGCTTGAGTATTCCGGACATCCGAGCGCCCTCTGCTGGTGCTGTAGTTTGGTGCCACAATAAAATTTACCAACGTGTAAAGGCTTCAGCGGCAGTTTATGCTTTAAAAACCATTGAGGAGCAGGAGAACTCATAAAACCACAGGCAGCAAATGTTGGGCCGGAAGGGGCTAGAAGGACATCTTAAAACAGACGCCAGCTTCAGTGGGGGGAACAGAGCACATTACCTCGCCGTGTTGGTGGCATCATATCAATCAGACTGTTGGTGTTGTTTTGTGTTTGTGTGTGTGTGTGCGCTTGATTACACAAAACTGATCGGAGATTTTTACGACCACAGAGAGCAATGTGTTCCCCTTTGGGTGGGCCGCTGCATGGTTTGAAATATTCAACGTTTATTACATCCCTCTAAGAAAAGATGAACTTAGAAGTCAGAGTAAGCGATCAATTTAAACACAGGGGGCCCGAAAACAAAATAGTTCACGCGACGGCTGTGGGTCGGTGTCATTGCACCAAATAGTTCTATTTACAGACCAAAAATATAGTCTAAAACTGTAACAAGAAAGTCGAAAGGAAGTTTAGGTAAGTACAAAAACAACCTATGTGAAGGCAAAGGCCAAAAAAACACACCAAAAAAAAAAAAAAAAAAAAAAAAAAAAAAAAAAAACCAAAAGAAAAAAACAAAAAAA